CTACCATAGTATATTGAATAAAAAATTTATTACAAGCATGGGTACTTGTGGACTTATCTCTAAACAATAAAATCGAGGATCTTCTGAATAAACAACTATGTACATAGGCTTTACAAAGAAAAACATAACAAATTCACAATGTAACTATTGTGTTCATAAACTTGGAAGTCCCTATCTATGTAATCATATAGAACCAACTTCTCCTTTTAGCTTGTGAGGATGAAAAACTTTGTCCACTTTCTCTCTATTACCCATGTTAGCCATCATGTCGGCAGCCACATTGCCTTATTGCCTTCCATCCATTCGTGTACTTCTTCCAATCAGTGCTGTATATGCCAAGGACCATTAGAGCTTCTATTGATGAGATGTATGGAAGCCATAGACTCCATCTCAACCCATATTATGCTAAAACCTTGTTTTTTACATATAATACTGGATAGTCAAGTGGTTCTTGTCACTTCTATCTCAGCTTCAATGACATGAGGTATATTTTTTTGTTTTAATCGCTGAATAGAAGTTTCGAGCAGTAGATTTGAATCAAAAGAATCTGCTACTGCTAGGCGTTCTTGTCGCGGAAGCTCGCTCCAAGAATCTTATAAACGGTGTTTTCATGGCTCAATTTCACGTTACATTTTCTACCAAACAACCAATTCAAACGGCTCTAACACACAACCAATATTTTTACCTCGGTTGCTCCTCAATCTCACTCACAAAGGACAAGATAATAGTGTTAATTTGTAGCCACAAATGCAATGAGAAAGTCAATGAAAAAAGTACATGAGGAGGCCAAATGCACAAAGGGAATCATCGATTTTTCTTCACTATGGCAGCAGATTTTTTTCACCTAGAGAGCAGCCACTTTTTTCTCCAACTCATACACAAATTACATACTCAAACGACTAGGTCAAAGCAACATATATATAGAAATATGTTAAGCTTTAGTTGGACCAATAAAATGGTTAAATGGGCCCATATCAATAGCCATCCAATAGGTCAATATATATATTGGCCGTGAGCAGCATTAATTCTTAAACTACTTTCAACGGTCCATGTTGTTTTTGGGTCGAGCATTTGGACTTGGTTGTTAGTAATTCATTCACCATTGGCGGAGGCCTTTGAAATTATATTCCGACGTTTTATATCATAGCCCATGATTTATTGGGTATCAAAACCCAATAAATCTCAACTTTGATACCCAATAAACCTGCAAGCAATCAAAACACAAAGTTAATACTTGCATAATCAAGGTAACCAATAAAATTGGGATCACAAACCTTATCTCGTGTTTTTGATCCGAAACACATACCATAACTACTACATATACTTACCAGGGTTAAGGTCAAGGAATACCCATGTAGGAGCAAAAAATCATAGTAATCATTCAAGAGCAAATAAACATGCGATAAAGATATAACATAAGATAACACACATATCTTTTGAAACCCGATTACACAGAATAACAGACTAACACCAAGTTAATCAATCAAATGGTCAAACACATGTGCAACAATTGTATAAATGACCTCATGAAAAGATCTTACCACACTCATCATATCCCATTCCGTGTTGTTCACACCTCAAGAATACATATCTCATCTCATCACCTACTATGCTCACTAGATTGATCACTTAACTTATGTCTAATTGATAAACCACAATAGATTATAAATCAACGGGATAATCCTCTATCACCACTCACTTCTTCCAACCTAAGTGGATAATGGGTCTCCACCTAATAGAAGTAATAGAAGTGTCTCTTTCACACTCCACCTGATCAGGGTCTTCAAAAATAAAGGATTACAACATTTAACCACCTCTCCACTCTGATCCAAATGTCACACTCTACCTCCCCGGCACATACCACCAATGTATTCCTAGGCAATTTATACTTCACACACCAATAGACACACAACAAACTTACTGCTAATACATCACAACCCACTATGCATGTAAACACGTTATATCAAATGATCAAATTGCTCTCATATTCATGCAAATTCACATATCAAACACATTGAAATAAAACATATGATTATGCAATAGAATTAATCAATTACACACAGATGCATATGCAGTAACTATGTTTACTCTCAATAAATTTCACTAGGGTCATCACTCGATCCTATAGCCACATTCGCCTCACCTCTCATCTTACCCTTCTACTTATCCTTCTTCTTGGAACAGTCCCTCACAAAGTGTCCAGACTTACCACAGCCGTAACACCGCTTACTACCGGACTTGTCCCAATCCTTGCCCTTCTTCTTATCGCCCTTATCACTCAAGTTACGACTGTCTTGAGCTCTACCCAAATTCTTTGTCAGTCTTAATCTCTATCTATTTACTTCCAGGAGAATCAACGACAATCTCATGTATTAAGATGTCCCTACTATACTTAATTGCATCATTAACCTCCCTATATGAGTCAGACATACAATTCATCAAAATAGTGGCTTTATATGTTTTAAATACATTTTCATCGCAGTTAACAATATCTTGAATAAGCTTGTTAAAAACATCCAAATTGTCATCAAGATCATTTGAATGATCCATTTTAAAATTGTTCAAGCAAGTAAAATTTATTAGGAGTAGATTTAAGTAAATATAAGTCCTCCAACTTTTTTCAAAGTTCTTTTGTAGAATCAAATTTTTCAACTTTTTCTCAAAACAATGTCAGATATGTGTAAAATAATTGAAGTGTAAGCAAGTTCATCATACTCTTCTTTTGTGTTATTGTCCCATTTGTGAGAAATTTGTCATCTATGGCTTTTGAAAATTTTTGTTGAACCAAGATCTCTTTCATCTTTTGTTACTAGATTGAAAATTCCATTTTCCATTGAAAAATCCAATTTCGAAATGTGAAGACATTTTAAAAATAAAACAATCAAAGTGCACAAATAGGTCACACAAAGTAATCCTAAGGCCACAATACACACTATTCTTGATTCCCAAAGTTTCATGAAACTCACGATCTCAGTATCAAGGGAATGGTCAAACAGGTAAGGTATAGGCATTCTAATAGAATAATCAGTGCAACACGAAGGTATGTTAACAAAAAATTAGTTTTTCACGCAATGCAGTCTCACACGATAACTTAATGGCACTTAAAACACAAAATCAATATCAACTTGCAATTAAATTCAACAATTCAAACAGAACAAATAATTCCTAAATTTCTGGTTACCCCATACGGTAACCCCAATTCTAATACCACCACATACGATGACTCGCTAATGTTGAAATTAAAAAGGATAAGACAATATACCAGAGCGGACCAATCTGAGTACGTAAATAATGAGATATGCAAATTTACCAAACTTTAGGGCCACCACTATTCACCCTAAAGCTCCAGCAACTGTAGCAATTAATCAAACACGGTCGGATCCCAAAAGTGCAAATGTCAAAATCATCCAGATTTCACTATATAACCTGAAATAAAAAACTAATAACACCAAAATATTATAAATGACGTTAGGAACAAACTGGATGAAGTGACCTCCTTGAGATTCTATTCAACGCGCCCTCACGCGTCGCCTAAAGCCTCTGCACGTAGTCGCCATGCCCATCGCCACTAGAATCTACTCCACCTGCACGTCACACTGGTGGTCTCCGTTTCGCCAGCCGGTCACTGGATTTGCCGCAAATTGCACAAATAACCTTGGTTTTTGGACAGTTTTTCGATCTGTTTTTCTGTTCGTATCAATTTTCAAGTCCCTTTTTTCCAGATTTTTTAGCCAAATTCACCACCTTGAAGCTCTAATACCAATTGTCATGGAAGCTCGCTCCAAGAATATTCTGAACGGTGTTTTTCGGGCTCAATTTCACATTACCTTTTCTACCAAATAACCAATCCAAACCGGTTTCAACCTACAACCAACATTTTTACCTCGATTGCTTTTCAATCTCACCCACAAAGGACAAGATAATGGTGTTGATTTGT